GGTCACTGGTAGCAGATTGAAGACCTCTGGAAGCACTTGACGAGAATTGTAGTGAGGACTAGCTTGGATCGAAATGTTTGAATCGAAACAGACCCTTCAATCTAGCGTATACATCACATCCAAATGCCCATTATCAAGGGTTATACAAGTCCATAGAGTAAAGAAAGCTACAATCAAAATCAACGAGTGAACGGTTCTATTTTTCGAGGTCGGCCTCCAATCCGGAATCCGTCGTCTTCAGCACGGCGGTTCGTCCCCCCTGGTGTCGGCGCGGTGCTTGGACGCTCAACCTTCTTTGGTTTCGTCGCGGGTGGACCCTGCCCCGCAAGCTTCTTCTTCCTCTTCTTAGCAGCGAGGTCGGCCGGGCGAGGCGATTCTGTCTGCACGCTTCGAGCAAACGACGGCCCATCTCCCTCCGATCCCGCTTCTCCATCCACAACTACCACGACCTCCGTCTGCAACGCGATCTCCAGGCAATGATCGGACCTAGGACTAGGATATCGACGATCACGCCGGGGTGCCCGGTCTTGCGTTTGCAACGGCGGATCCTGAAACATCACCCCCCTTCCAGGGTTGTCCGGTTCTCCTGGTGAGATCGACCTGCTGTGGGCTTGTTGCATTGGCGGATATTGTGGACGGCCAATTTGGTCTGGAGGACTTGGTCTGCGGTACTGTGGCGGTGGTTTCAGCTCTGGGATCGATCGTCCCGACGAATGCTGTCGCTGGTCCGGCCTCGGCCGTGGGGGAGGTCGCTCAGGCGGTGGCGGCCTCAGCCCCAACTGAGGATGCTGTGGTGGCTGCATTTCTCTTTGGCCTTCGTGCTGTAGTGGTTTCTCCGGTATACCTCGATACACCTGTCGTGTCGGTATCGGCCTATGAAACTGCTGCAGTTGGACGCGACTTGGCTGTCGAGTAACCGGTGGCACCACTCCCTCATCCTCTACAAGCCAGGCCACCCCCACTGCATCCACATCCTCATCCTCGTCTATCACCTCCCAGTCTTTGCCCACCTTTGCGTCAGCATCGACTTCCCCAATCATCGTCTCCTCATCCTTGCCGTCCATATTCACGTACGTGGCGCTACTCTCCTTTCGATGATGCTGATGGGGGTGTGGTTGTGAATTTTGCCTACTGGCACCAAAGCTTCCTGGACGAGTATTTCCCGTGGATGGTGGGCTCCGACCGTCATAAACACCTTCCTCTAGATCCAGGGTGTGTACCGTATCGTCATGTGGCTGTATATAAATTGTCGCTCTATTCCTCGAGTACGGAACCGCCGCAGTACGTTGCCCGACACCCGGAACGGGTTCACCAGCGCGTAAGGGATATGCCTGACCGAGTATGCCTGGTTGTGAGTTGACCTTCTTCGTCCTCGCCGTGAAATAAGCCTCTCGCATGTTGAGGATGAGCCGTGAGCCCCCGATGTTGACACCCGAATGGAAGAACGCCAATCCAGCAATGTTGATACCATTCTACACGGGGCACAAAAGCACAAAACCGTCATCGATGTCAGTGATGAAGCCCTCTCCAACAATCAAAAGACAACGAGTTGTCAATCCACAACACTCACGATTCCTGATGCCAAATTTATTGAATTCCAGACGATGAGTATGAGCATGAGCCCAAACCACACCACCGAGTCGAGCACGAGGAGCTTGAGGAAATTTTGCTTCCGATTCATAAAGTCTTGATCTCTTGTATGCATCCTCGCCTTTCGCACGACGAGGAAGCATAACCACCCGTCGAAGAGCAGCCCGGGGAGCCAGCAGGCGAAGAGGTACTTTGGAACCTGCGGACAAGATGGAACTATGAGTGTGACAGGTCTTCATCGAGGGGTAACGTGTGGATACATACGATACCCCAGCATCCCGAAGCCGGCAGTGGTGCCGGGAATGCAGTGACGTTCGGCCCAGCGAAAATGACGAAACCCGCGGTGCCCAATATAACCGCGACGTAAAAAATGGAGTTGAAGATAAGCAGCCGACGATCACAGTGGTACATGGCATGCACACGAAACTAAAAAAAAAGGGGGGGGTTGACCAGTGGGGTCAGGCAACTATGCTGGGTGATGCCGATTCTTACGCACTTGTAGAGTCCTGCAAGATGAGGAGGTAGTGTCAACATCTATGAAATGGTCCAGCGAGAGATCATCCAAGTCGCTTACAGTTGAACGATGAAGAGCATAAATGTTGAGCAACTGACGAGAGTCCAGAAGTAGCCAGTACAATACTACCATGAAGGTCAATAAGTCTAGACGTTGACGACATCCAAACCGCGATAGACTTACCGCCTGAGTTAACCCCTTGTGCAGACATGACATGATATCAAAGAATTGGAAGCAGAATGCAAAGTAACGTGTAAACCCGTAAACTGCTGTCCCGAAGGTCCATCTTCGTTTCTACGTATAAGGAATGAGATGTAGTGCATAGACATAAGTGAAAGATCTCAGATCCACTGACCCAGACGTAGTTGATCTCGTCCCCAAGATTGAGTGCTAAACATCGACAAGGAGGCGAGTTAGCATTGTTTCCCATATAGAATACGCAGAGCATTTGCCTACACCAATCGTAGAACATTGCAGTGAATGCAGCTAGCTGCGAGTAACGAATGAGCTGAGAGGTTGGTGCATATGCCACGAACTCGTGCAGATAGACCAAGATCTGAGTCGGATCGATCACGAGTCCTCCCATAGGTGAGCCCGCCTTGCTCGACGAAAAGGATAGATGCCGGTCAAAGCAGCCGCCTTATTGTACAGTTAAAAGAGGAGGAGTAGAGGAGGCAATGAACAGTACTATCGCGGTGTAGGCAGATAAGGAGGGGAGAGAGCCGATCGATATGGTGTTTCGAGAGGGGGATCGACAGCTCAACCTCTCTCCCACATTCATCAAGGCCGAGATATCATCTCTTCCAATCTTAGACCATCCAGTGACCATTTCAGGTACAGCGAGCCACGAGTGAGATTGTGTCAGCGTCGTCAGGGGCTGAAACGCAGAT